ATAAAAAAGCAAATTCTTTTTCTTCCTGCAAAGAGGAGAGAGAGAGAGAGAGAGAGAGAGAGAGAGAGAGAGAGAGAGAGAGTACCCCCACAAAAGAAAAGCCCCTCTCCAGGATTTCAGAATATGCTTTACTTTTTATAATACTCAGGCATTTCATCGCTTTAAAGTTCAGTCTGACTATGTAAAGGTTAAATACTGCGAGTCCAAACACTGCGAATGCTTATTTGAATAATAGAATTTATGGTTTTACCCCAAGATTTTCCAGCTGTTGCATGATACAGTTTGTATATTTTGCTTTGCTTATACACTGTCCAAAGGCAAAGAACCCCCTTCCCCAACAAATCACATTCAAGCAAAAAGAAAGATCACAGAGTTATTTCATTGTAATCCTGCTTGTTAAATCCAGGCTTATTGCTGGCACACTGTTTATTTTTTAACTTGAGGGAACTATGTTTCATTTTAGAATATATGCAAACATAGTTAGCTTGATTGCCACCAGCACTTTTAATCTTGGGAGACTTCATGACAAGTCAAATGGTTTCCCATATTTATTGTGAATTGCCAGGAGGAAGCAGTATTTTTTATGGACAGGAACTCCAGAATCAGATACAATATTGTTGAAGGGCTTCTTTGTGATTTCAGTAACAAGGAAGCAAGAACCGGCACTCCAGCTGGAGTTTTATGACTTGTTTACAACTGTTGAACTATTGTGTTCCAAAGCTTTTCTCTTCCCACTTTTCTTCAATAAATTTGTGCTGACTAAATATACTGACAACAGGTAATGGTTGAGTGACATACAGTAGCAATCCAAGGGTGAAATTTTTGCTTGAAAAAGAAACAGGATGTCTTCTCCTCCCACTTGCTTCAGTGGAGCTTGAATATCATATTTTATACTTTCAAATAAATACTGAGAAATGTTGTATTTTGATGAACCTCCATACATGATACAACTGATGTATGGAGCAGAATTTGTTCAGAACAGCAGCTGTCAATCAGCTAATCAAGCAACTCATCAGTAAGTTACTGAAGCAAACTGTTGATAGTGTAGTAGTAGTAGTAGTAGTAGTAGTTGTTGTTGTTATTATTATAACATGTCTATGCCGCCCCTTGCCGAAACCTCGGGGTGGCTTACAACACAATAAAATACATTGAAATGCAATAGAACATAATAAATTACCATTAAATACAAAAATACAAAAAATACACTGAGTTACAAATATAAAATTGAAATTATCAGTATAAAATAAGTAAATAAAAATATAGGAGGAGAAAGAGAAGGAAGAAGAAGTTGCCCTGGCCAGATCATATGTTTTAACAATTAAAATGATGTTTAAATAAAAAGGTCTTTACCTGGCGCCGAAAAACCAGTAACGACGGTGCCAGGCGGACCTCTTTGGGGAGTGAATTCCATAGGTTGGGTGCCACCGCAGAGAAAGCCCTCCTCCGAGTACTTACTCTCCTAATTTCTTTCATGGAGGGTTCTGGAGAAGGGACTCTCCCGCAGATCTCAAAGGGCGGTCGGGCATATACGGACGTAAGCGCTCGTTCAAGCTGGTAGTTTGCTTTCTAGTCTCCTTGTGTCCTTTACTGACTGTCCACTTTAGCTTGCTTCCTCACTATGTTTTTATTCCTTCTCATGTCCGTGCTGCTACATTTATCCATGATTAATATACAAATCTGGAACTTGAGAGAAAGGAGAAATGGGCAATTTTCAGCTAGCAAAGTTTTAAGTCTCTTCCTTTCTTCTGCCACAATCCCACTCTCCCAAAGCTGTTTTTCAGGGATTCAGGAAACAACTATTCAAATAGAAATTGATTGTGATTAAGGGCAAAATCCTATGCTTATTTAGACATAAAAGGCTGAGCATTTCCCAGCCTTGCAGGCTAGGGAATGAGAGGGGTTGTTGGATTTGTGTGTGTGCCTAAATAGACATAGGATTGCACCCTAAAACAATTTAATAAGAGACAGCATGGTGTAATGGTTAAGAGTGCAGGTATGGGTCTCAGGTGTTCAGAGTTCTAGTTCCCACTCAGCCATGGACCCAACTGGGTGACATTAGGCCAGTCACACACACTCAGCCCAACCTACTTCACAGGGTTCTTGTGCAGGTATGACCGAGAGCAGGAAGAAGAAAATGATGTAAGCCTCTTTGAGCTCTCTAAAAGAAAAAAAAGATGGAATCTGGTAAATGAAAACAACTTGGGATTTACCCAGGGGCATAGAAGGTGGCCTTTATATCAGAGATGTCCTTTCAGTCTGGGAAAAACAAAGTAAACATCTTATTTCATGTGGGCGAGGAACTTACTCCCTTCACAGGCAGGCTCTTTTAACATTCTGAAAAGGGTTTACAATAAGTAAATATTTCCTTTGTGATTCAAAACTTGCATTGCTGTTAGAAATTACATCTTTAAACAAATTCATTGTGAAGAGAAAGATCTATAGGGAAAGTAATAAAGGCCCATATATATATTTTCTTCAGCAGCATAAATTTTCTAAATTCGACATTAGAAAGAAAAATTATATGGTAAGTCCTGTTTGACATATCCTTGTGTTTGCAGTATCACATACATTATTTAGAATTATGTTAGTTGAGTTACTTTAGATTGCATTTATACACACTGCCTCATATGTTATTTGCCATTATGTAATAAACAGTTATGAGTTTCTAAATGCTTATGCTTCTGTTTAAAATTATCTTCAATAAAACACAATAAATCAAGTTACTTGACCTGTAATCTGTATTTGATTATGTTACTAAAAGGAAACTAATGCAATTATATCAAATGGAATGCTGTTCTAGAGTTGGATGTGAAAAATGCTCTCTGAATCATGTTGTTGGAAAGTACCTTTTCACAAAATAACTGGCAGTCCCGAGCATTGGCACTGTTCCCATTTTCCATTCTTTCTCCTGAATTGAAGCCAGATTCCTTTGGGAAATCATCATTTGTAAAAGGTTGTGAACAGAAAGAGGGGCATTCTTAAGTGTACAGTTACTGCTAATTAGAAATGAAACATCTGCAACTATGTCAGGGTTAATTGTATTTGAAAAGAAACACTTATACACAAGTATTAATTCAGTTTAAAGAAAGCATGATGTGGCACAAACATAGGAGCATTTGCAGACAAATTATTTTGCATTGTTTTGTGGTTAAATGTTTAATTTTAATTCTTTCTACTACTGAGCTGCATATTTTATTTCCTCTAGAAATATAGTTTAAAGACCTTGCTAGATAACCTAATATATGGCATAATAAATGGAAGAAAGTAGTTAGGCTACAGTGAGGAGCTTTATGTCATAAACTTGATCTAACATTTATCAGGTTCTTTTGCTCTGTGACTTTTTCCAGTTTGTTTTCAATGCAAAGTATAGTTTGATTTTCTGTTGATATGGCATTGTGGATGTAGACCTCACAACTTAGGAATGAATTTCTAGAATATACAAAGTTCTAAAGCTGTAGTTTGCAGATGTAGAACTATTTTCAAATTCTGGAGAAGGGAAATTTTGCACCAGGGACACTTGTAGCTGCAGAAAAGCATGAGGCTTTAGGGACTCCTGCCTCCCTACCTAGTTTGCAGGAGAGCAATCCTTGCGGAATAGTCTCAGTCTGTTCCAGTGAGGAAGCACAATTTGCAGTATTTCCAAGGGGAATCATTCCTCAGGGAGATACACAGGGCAAGGCACACTTGAATTGTGCTGCTCTACACAGTTCTAGGACCGTCTCTGCCCCTTCAAATTTACAGTAGTTGTCCATTGAGGAGAGGGTCTTGAGCTGTCGAGATACCACTATTTATGACTAGGGGTTCCAGTGTGGCACCAACAGGCTCCACTCCACCTGCAAAGTCAGGCTCAGGTGGTTGCCTACATTCCATCTTCTACAAGTGGATGCAGGGATTCCTGAGAAGAAATGTCGTCCTTGCCAAAATACAGCTGTGGGAGGCAGGGCAGGTACCTTCCCTGCCATGCAGCCATGAAGCAGCAGGCTCCTGGGGGGAGGGGGGGCTTCCTCCTATGCTAATTTTCAGTGGGACAGATTCTTATACCATGTAAATGAATGGAGAAATAGGCCAATTTACTTGAGTGAAGATGAAGAGCAAGGAAAGCCAGGGCAGTGGTGGTTGGGGAGGGGGGCATACGTAGTTAAGGAGGAAAGTTCCCAACTTTCGGGGGGATTAACCTACAGACCCAAAGCAAATGATTTATGGTGGTGCCTGGCCTACTTTTTTGAAACGTTAGATGTGCTCACAGGTCCACAAAGGTTGGAGAAACTTGTTTTTAGAAACACAGTTGGAATCTGTTCAGTGGCAAACAATGTCTATGTATCTTTAAGCAAACAAGAATCATCTGGCTTCTCCTGCCCTGCATCCTTACTCCATAATGGGAAGGTCTACTTGCCTTTGCCCTCTTATTGCTTATATGACCCCTGGCCTGTAGCCATTCTTCATGCGAAGGGTGTAGGAGGATTATTTCAGGGAGGGATGATCCCTCCAGTCCTTCATAGGACATCAGGTAGGTTCAGCCACACCCCTGATACTAGGATCCTTGCACATAGCCATGTCCACCTGACATCATATGTTCTCTGGCCCAAGTATTCAGTGGTTCAGGGCCTAAGTTTGCACAGCTAGTTTTCTTGTTAGGAAAGCTCCATGCAGTGAAGCCAAGATGGACTAATTGCCATTGCTCTTCTAGTGGAGGAAGCATTCTTTGCCTGTGCAGCCTCCTTCCCACAATTGTAGAAATGGCCAGAGTGGGCAAAGTGAGCGTTAGTTAGTTAGTGTCAACATATGCTGAATTGTAAGGATGAAAAATGTAATAATCCATGTAGAGCTGTCATTATGGCACCCATATCAAGAAAGGTTCAGTACAAACAGTCAAGCATTATACCATTAATGATTATAAAGACTGAAGAAGGATTTCTCCATGGCTGAATTACCTGTTTGTAAAACACGCTGTGTATGAGTGGGATCTTAACAGATTCTTTTTCTTTCTGCCCCCTCCCCAGGTGTGGTCACTCACCTGAGTACCGCTCCCGTGAGTTGGCAGGCCGAGCTCTTGTTCCCTTTCTTATGGTAAACATGGTACCACAAACAGTGTCATCTTTGTTGGCTCAGCTTCCAGATTGCACTGATTCTTGTATACGACAGAATGCTGTTCATGGAACACTGCTACAAGTAAGTTTTTTCATTTTACTAAATGCCATGTAGCATCCATCAAGGAACACTTCACAAGTGTTCTTGGTTTTTCCCAAGATGATGGGCACAGGTGGTCTAAAGAACATTTATGTTCATCATGTTAATGCTGCTCTGCATTGCAGTCATGCTTTTAGTTCTCAGGAAGACATTATCAGATACCTGCCAAATAGTGGTAGGTAGCTGGGTGGGTGAAGTTCTGTAGCTTAGTGCAGAGCTCATGACTAGCATGCAGTAGTTCCCAGATTTAATTCCTGGGATTCCTTTGTTAGAGCTCACAAAGATCTAAACTCTCAAGAGGGCAGTGCCAAGAGGGCTAGATACATCAGTAATCAGCGATCAACAGCCAAGGATGGTCTGTGGTTGGTAGTAGATTGAAGGTCCTAGGCTCAATCCTTGGCATCTCCAGGCACTGCTAGTAAATTCCTGCCTAAAACCCTGGAAAACCTTGCCACTTAAGTGTCAACCATACTGGACTAGATGGACCAAGCGTCTGACTAATTATAAGGTAGCTTCTTAAGTGTCTGTGATCTGATATAGCTTCCTAAGTGTCTGTGATCAGTTTCTTAGCTTTCTATGTTGCTTTTAATCTGTTGCACACTTCAAGCTTTTTACAAGCTAGTTTTTAAAATGACCCAATACCTTTGAATGCAAATGCTCTTCTGCAGGGGAAATTGACATATGAATTAGGAGATAAATAATAACTGATAAAATCAGACTTTCTTTTGCCTATGTCAGGTTGAATTCTGTGTAGTTCACCAGCCTGAAATTTTATTCAGACCTACTGTTTATAGGAAACTGCTCATTCTGCATGCCACGTAGTTATTAGCCAAGGGTTTTGCTTTTTCTTAATTGTGCATGTGTCCTCCTTGGTTTCATGCCTAGCGATTTGGCACTTCCCCATGGAAGCTGATGTTAATAGTACAGTCATAACTTCATTAAGATTCTTTATTAACCCCCCCCCCCCAACAAAGACAAATAACAATGTTCAGGAAAAAATAACCTCTCAAACTGAACAAGACATTTATCTCTCTTGCAACTCTAATAATATTTAATGCCTACCTGCTTAATGGTGATTCAGGCTGAAAAAAATGAGTTAGGTATTCTGGACATGAATGGTAAAGTTCCAAACTGGCACTTTTAGGCAGCTATCGGAGGCTTCCAGCAGTGGCAGGGATGAGTCACCTTATGCTGTCAGCTCACAAAGCAGCTCATCTTCTCTCCTTGCTGGACATGGTTGCTGATTTGCTGAGCAAGGGGAAGATGAGATGATTGGGCAGAGCAATTAGCACAGAGGGTGCTGCAAGCAAAGGTAGGTTTGGCTGGGCATCCTCTCAGGGAAACTGAGCCAAACATGGCTTGTCCCCCTGCCTTCTTTTAGTACACATCCCAAGCAAGGATGGTGTGTTTGGCTGGCCCTGGATTTCCCCTGCCTACGGTCCCCCCACTCTCAGTCAGTGCAGCATCTGCAGGCACTGCAGCAAGCAAGGCTGTAGGGATGTACTGCATTAGAAACATAGAAACAGAGCAAGTCAGAAGGTGTCTGAGCCCTGGTTCCAGCATCTCGTCTGAGCCCTGGTTCTAACAGGCTCTGCTCATGTCATCCCCACTATGTGCATGCCCAGCCTATCCTTGAACACCCTCACCATGGGGCTTCACCACCTCCTGTGGAAGCCCATTCCATACCCAAGGGGTCCTAACTGTCAGCAAGTACTTCCTGACATCTAGATTGAACCTTGGTTCCCTGAGCTTTGCTCCATTGAAACGTGTCGTGTCCTCCTCTGCAGGGGAGAACAGGTCTCTACCCACCTCCGTGTGAAGCCCCCTCACATACCTATATGTCACTAACAGATCCCCTCAGAGTCTCCTCTTCTCCAGGCTGGAAAGACCCAGTTCCCGCAACCTAACCTCATACGGCTTTCCCTGCAATCCTGGACACCATCCTTGTGGCTCTGCGCTGCACTGACTCTAACCTGGCTATATCCTTCCTGTAATATGGAGCCCAGAACTGAACACAATACTCCAGTTGCGGGTGCACCAGAGTTGTACAGAGTGGCAGTAATACCTCTTTCGATGTAGAAGCCATACTTCTGGCTAAGCAGCCAAGGGTGGTGTTTGTCTCTTGACTAACACTTCACACTGCTGACTCATATTTAGCCTGCAGTCAACCAGTACCCCAAGATCCCTCTCCAGCCACTTGTCCCCTAACCTGTACTTATGACACCCATTCCTGTGCCGCAAGTGCAAGACCTTGCACTTATCCACATTGAACGCCAATCTGTTGTCCCCCACCCACTTCCATAGTCTATCCAGATCCTTCTGGATCTGCAGTGCCTGCTCCTCTGTTGTGGCCACTGCCTCCATGTGTGAATATGATCAGCAGACTGGTCACCCCCTCTTCCATTCTTGCATGCCATATAACCTGCAAGTGGTCTGGGAAAAGACAAGCCAGTGTCTGCTGAGTAGCAGCACCTCAACCCTTCCCAGGGCTTTGGGAAGCTGTGCATAGAGGTGTATCAGAGGTAACAATTTGGCCCTTGGGATCAGGCAGAATGTCCCTGGGCTTCCATTGTCCTATAGAAATTGGTGACCCATTAATCATACGAGGTACCCACTGCCACCCAGTGTTTCTATCTAGAAAAAAGGGATCCATAGTGGCTATGGATATGGAGCCAAAAAGGTCAAAATTAGTTTTCACAGAAGCCTTTTTTAACACTATTTTGGAGTTCCAAAGCTGCTGCAGAGACCTTAATATTTGTTTTTGAGACTAATTGGGTGGGGTCCCTAGACCTCAGTTGCACACCCCTGGGTATATAAGAAAACGTAAGAACTGGCTGAATTGGAATATGAAACTTTCACTTTTACTCCTTACTTCTGGTTTGCCTTTCTCTTCTTTTATGGAAATCTGAAAGACAATTGGAGGGCATTTGCAAGACATGTCTATTTTTATTATCTTGAATCTGCGCATGTCTTCCAACATATGCTAGCCTACTTTTCTGCCCTGAGTTCACTACAATCTCTTTTTCATAGCACATCCTCCCTCCCTGAATTTTTCTTTATGTTAGCAACTTTAGGCTTCAAAGGAGAAGGGAGGAACTCCCTAGACAGTGGACCTCAGCTCTTCCTTTTCTACTTGATGTATGAGACACAATGTTTCTTCTGTCAGTACTGTATACAGTGGCTTGCAGACCATCAATAATTTTTGCTCCGCTTACTGGAAGATAGCAGTTCCTTTTGACTTAATTTTATTTTAGGTGAAAGTATTTTGGGGGGTAAAAGTTGCATTCATCTGAAAGAAGCAAATCTCGTTTCCATTATCAAATAATAATGTTTTTGTAAATATGTTTGATCTATAGTACACACTGGCAAGTACATTGAGGAAGAGAAACTTTAGTGCACTCAGAGGATGGTAAAAGTACTGTATTACTGGAAGGTGTTCACTTCTAGCATGGGGACAATGCATGTTGGTTGTGATTAAGGGTCAGAACTAGAACTCCAGCCTTTTTACAGATTTATATTTCTTCTTTAAGAATAGCAATCCTATCCAACAGATACAACAGTTTACAATAAAAAGCTTCATGCTCTCCATTCCCCTCCCTCGAAATATCCTGATACAGATCAGTGGGCTCTTTGTGTGTGCACAAGCATGCACATCTGTACAGCACCTGGCCCCTAAGCTAGCATCATGTGAAAACTTCAGAAGGTTGTGCACCCTGCTCTGAAAGACTGGCTTTGTGTAGCTCTTGAGGAGGTGAATGCCACAATTGTCAGGTGGCCATTGACATCTCTAGCCCTTTTCACCCTTGACTTCACCAGTGATAAGGCAGAGAGTAGGGCCTTCAAGTGGGGCCTTTAATAACTGTGTAGATCCCTGTGGGTACAGGCAGACCTTAAAATAGCCTGGTCTTAGATAATTCCCAATATTCCTGACTATTGGGTATATGGCATGAACTTCCATCCCTTATTTAGGACTTTACAAATTAAGGGAAAAGAAGGGTAAAAGTGTGATATAAGAGCTAGGATGATCAGCCTATGGACCTCTGGATGTTTTGACTTTCACCTCCCAATACCCTTTACTATTAGTATCTAGCGGGCTGCCCCCAACCAAGATAGATGGTAGGAGAAGGATAGAGGAGAATTCAAATACAGTTTTGGGGGTGGGTTGTTGGGAAGGAATGACATAAGCGAAGAAGCTAGAGGAAAAAGTTAATATAATAGAGATGATGGGAAATAGTAGGAGTGGGAAAACCATTTTGATAAGAGTTTGGAAGGAACAGAATCAAAGAGTTATTTTTCTAGTAACTTTTGTGATATAGTTGAGCTTCTAAGCTTTTCTTTCACTTAAAATATAAATTACAGCAGATAAAATGTATGGCCAAACCACTTAACGATTAGCTTTTAATATGATCATGCAATTTTTGATTTGTCAAATAATATCAAAAGTGTTCACAGCATGTGTGTTGTATCATGTATTGTATTACTGTAATTTAATTCTGAGGACATTTTCAATTATAGTTTTTTTGCTGAGCTTGTAAAAATGAATTAATCCACTGGTGATAATTGAAAACAGTAAATAGATAGTTTTCATTTTTCATGCTGGAATGATTTAATAATTACTGGAGAAAAACTGGGAATTAATTTTTAACAATAAGAATGGAAAACTGTAGTAATTTATAAAACTGATGGAATGCCTGCGAAAAGAGCTCCCTATCCTGTGTCTCAGTAAAGTATTAGATTCTTCAGAATAATATCTAAAAGTTTTGGATGAGCAGTTTAGAAATATAATCAAGTATAATCCCCATTGTTGACAAGCTGCCCTGTATTATATGCTGCTAAATCAAATCAAACTGGCCAATCAAATTATTACTTTGGCCAATACTACATACATATGGCTATGGTCTTGGGCCAGGTTTTGTATTTGTTTTGGTATTTTACAGCCCTGAAGCAGTTCTCAGGGACCCCCTCTGTAAAAATACCAGTGA